TGGAATCGATCGTGCCCCATTTGTTTCTCGAGCTTTGACTTTACAAACCTTTCATATTTAAGACTGTCCTGTTTGAAAATGTTTTCCTCATTTCCTTGTTTTAAGAGGGAAAAAGATAAAAATTCTGTAAAATATTGTAAATGAATCAAATTATAAACGTGAGTTCAAAGAATATCAAAGGAATCAATAGCTCTTTTAACGCTTTCAGAGTTACAGCTCTTTAACAAATGTTCAAATGGATAAATTGACTTTAGGTTGGCTAAATTTCTAAGGTTTCGGTCACCCAAAATGTCATTTTTTGAAATATCGCAACATGTTTTTTGGTTTGGCATTTTAATTGGGTGCGGACAAAATGAAGCAACTAGCATGATCAATTACTATACCTTTTATTTTGGTCCTCTGAAATCTTCCATCTGTTCAAGTTTTGTAAGTTCCTCTAACTAAGGTAGTGCAAAAATATCGGTCTAAAAATGAAATTCTTGAGTGCTCGTGTGAATTTGACTATAACAGGTGTTCCTTAACTCCCTTAGTCCATCATTACTGAAAATTTCTTGCTTAGATAAATTTGATTTAATTTACCATTGTCTGGCTAGCTAAATCCATAAAGCCGGGGCGTTTAACCAATTGCTTTAGAGGGACAACTTAACATTATAATCACTTTTATCAGGTTTAACTGAAGGGTTCATCTCATCACAAAGTCTTTGGCCTGACAAAAGCAGTGGAGCAAACATCGAATTGCCAAGTGTCCGAGCAATGTCATGGTTTGAATGCAATCTATTCATAAAGCCAGGGTTTTCGAGTTTCCTCTGTAACCAATTACCTTAGTGGAATAACTCAGCTTTACGGATTTAATTTCTTAAGATTGTCAAGAAGAACCTGTTATAGTCTAGGTGTTTGTTGAAAGTCAAAAATTTCATCTTTAGAGTTCAATTTTCAAGGAACTGACCTAAACTAGATTCACTTACTCGACTATTCCATCTGTGAAGATCATTATCATCACTGAACGTCTTAAATAAAAAGTATAATAATGTCATATGCAAAAGGATGCCCCTTGTTGTCCACACCTTATGAAAGAGAAAAGTTATATTGGTTAATTGTAAGAGCATGATACGATGTTTGAGTGTATATTCTGGGTATAGTCAAATTCCTTGTTTTAAATCATGTTACTTCGTCAAAGATCTGTAACTTTGAACCATTTACAGAGTTTCTTAATTCAGATGATATTCAAAGAATTTTAAGTTTGCAATTGTGATTCATTGCTTAACGTCTTTAAAGTGGCATAAATTTATTTAAAAGTCCTTACAAAAACTTGAGAAAAAAAATGAAAAACAAATTCAAACAGAATGCCTCAAATGATGAAATGATCTTCCTCACTTGGATGCCCCCAAGTTGTTGAAGTCGATCATGTTCTGGTTACGCATCTTCTGCACGACTCTATTGAATGCGTAACAATTCTCAATTGTGTGCCCTGGGACACCGCCGTGATATTCACAATGAGCATTCTCGTCATACCACTTGGGGTATGGGGACTTCATGGTTTCCACTAAGTATGGTGACACTACATGGGTGTCAAGAAGTTGCTGGTAAAGCTCTTTGTAGGTCCTGAGAATAGAATCAAAATGTTCACATTTTTTATAAGGTAAGTGAATGTAATAAAAAAGAAAAATAATGCAAAATATGCATGAATGCATGATGCATGTAATGTTCGAGGCATTGATCAAAAAATGTGTCTGTTATTAGAAATAATCCTTATTGAAGGCAAAAGTGTTTTATCTTTTAAGAGACAAAAATATCCTGACAGCTTCTGACATGTTGACTAGTATTTTGTCTTCGTCTGTCACCGATTGAATAACCTGTCGAACCACTCTGGCTTCTCTGGATGAACCGTACAAATGTTGATTTGCTTTTTGTATTGGCCCAAGAAGTCTCGAATGACTGCATCTCTGGCATTTATCTTTTGTTAAACTTGTTCCCAACGAATACATCATTGGAGCCCTCAATTGATAGGAACTATGTGAAGTTAATTTGTCTGTTTCTTGAATTCGTCAGCAAGGGTCTCCAATTTCATCTATCGTTTTACCATTGTTGTCTTTGAAGGGATTCCCTTCATCTTGCCCCTGCAACCTCATCCAGTCAGTTCTTCAAAGATAGACTTTCATTGTGCTTGATGTAGACCTGGTTCATTCCGAGTCCTTTATAATGCAAGAGAGTGATACACTCTTCAATTGTGGGCACCACGTCTTCTGGATTGAATGCGACACATAGTCGCCTTATAGACTGTCCTCTGTATTTTCATCTCTTGTATTACAATCCCTTTGCCTATTAATGCAGATTATTCATGTTTAACAAACACATTTTTAGTGGATCAACACCTCTTTTAAATGATGCAAGTGATGAAAATAAAATAAAATAAAAATGAAAAGAGTTAGTGAGGTGAAAATAATAAAAAATAATCATGAAAAATAAAAGTCTTATCCCACATAATGTTTACCCCACAAGCTTTAATTCCTACCCGGACATGATCTCTATCACGCATGCTAATTTTAAACAAATCCTAATCGCATATTTGTCTAGTTTGCATGCTTTGAACAGAAAGTAAGGCAGAAAATAAAACAGCCTAGGGTTTGGAATGAGGTTTTAGGGTGAGCTCTAATTCCCTGTACTTTCCCGGTTTAGGTTCTAAAAAAGGTACTCGAGTTCTATTTGCTGGTGTCCCCTTGGGCTTGCCAGACCCTTAGTCCTAAGCCCATCACAAGCTTATGTGGACTAAGTTAAACTCGAGAGGATACATTCCCTTATGCCCATACGGAGAATAAATTCACACGAAGATATAAGGTATATGAATCTCGAAGGTTACTTGCTAGGCCCATACGGAGAATAAATTCCCACGAAGGCGTAGCTTTCGCCCCCACTTAAAAGGGTTCGGAGCTCGGGTATAGAGCTAGAGATGACAATTTTGAAAAATCTGAAATCATTAAAAAAACGTTAGTACAACTATTTATTTGAAAAAATAATTAAAGATAAATAATAAGAATCGAATAAATACATTAAAATTTAAAATTGTAATTTTCGCTAAAAAAGACAACCTGAAATTAATTTCGGCTTGACTCACTTACCTGTCCCCAGCAGAGTCGCCAAGCTGTCGGAACCGTCTTTCGGTTAGGCCCCGAATTGGGCTTCAACTTGGATTAAATGGTTAAAGTCGCCACCGACCACTTTAAAACAAATTTAGGTGGGTTGGACACCATCTTACCTGATCTGCGTTGTACCAGAATCGTGTCAGGTTCGGGATTCGGTTACGGTTAAAGAAGGATTAGCACCCTTGAACCGCCCTTTCGGTACCAATTAATTTATCGGTTGTCTTAATCACGAAAATCAAAATTTAAATTGAAATTTAAAAATTCAATTCGAATTAATTATCTTTGATCGATTGAAAGTATCCCTAAAAAGTCAAAAGTATTGGATTGTAAAAATAAAAATAAACATGAGAAAAGAATAATAAAAAAATATTAATATAATAATATTAATGAAAAATGAAATATATATATATATATATATATATTATATATATATATATATATATAAATGTAAAAAGAAATAAAAAATATTAAAATTAGGAGAAAATATAAAATATATATAAAGTAAATAAATAAAAAATGAAATAAAAAGAATAAGTCAAAAGTTGTTACATCTCTCATGTTTTGCGTGTAGAGAAACTGGATTTGCAATGAAAATGCTCTGCCACTCCTCGTGCTTTTAGATACTGGCTTTGGATTCTCCACGCTTATTTTTTGTCCTTTTCTTCCATCAGTTTTTTCAAATCGTTGCCCCTTCCTCTGATTTTGGTTCCACGTTTTTCTCTCCGTCATTTCCTCTTAATGCTTGAGTTTATTTATAGTCTAAAGAAACCTATTTTTAGCTCAGATTTAGAGTCTTACTTAGACTCAAAATGCTTCGGTTTTAGTGTTTCAATGACTCAAATACGTTGGTTTTAGTGTTTCAACAGGACTCAAATACGTTGATTTATTTTCTGAATCTCACTGAATCAGGGTTATTGAGTGTGGGGCCTACACAAATAATAAAATAAAATAATAATAATAATAATAATAATAATAATAAATAAATATAATATAATAAAATATTTTGTAGACCCGGACAAAAATGGATGTCCACACCCACGTGATACCAAATCAGCGTAAAATGTGTTATAGAAAGTGCGCCTTTCTGCAAAGGGTGTTATATCGGGAAATATAGTCTGAACGATGCTTAATCAAAAAATATATTGTTAAACGGTGATATATAGGGGAAATCGCCTCATTTCATTGTTCTATTTAAATAAAAGCTCAATTCTTAATTTTCTTTTAACAATTCAAATGGAAATAAATAGTATTTATTTCTGTAAAACAGTGTATTATTGGTTAAAATATCTTATTTTCTTTTATTTGGATTACTGCTAATTCTGAAATTAGATTTTGACCACATAACATTTGTGGATGAAATAGATTCTTTTTAGCTAAAAGAACAAACATTAGAAGATTTGTACCCATTCTCCTGTTTTTGCAATTAGTAGAATTTGATTGAAAAATGGAAAAAAATTTATAAGGAACATAAATGGAAATTAACTTTTTGTAATTAATATCCTCATGAACTGTTAAATTAAATGTACTTAAAAGTAAAAGCAGGGAGATTACGGCAAAAAACAAATATGACTGTACGTGTGGTGTGCGGGTCCGGTAGCTTATTTACCGGTTACATCCGGTATCTCGGTAAATTTCATGTTTTTGTTTCACTCTGGTAAAAGAATTTTAAAAAAAATTCGTGAAGTTTTCTTTTAATTTAGTTTTTTTTAACCAGAAAACGACTGCTCCAAAAGAAGAGCATTAGGGAAGCCTTCGCAGTTTGCAGGACATGGCTTTTCTATGTTCTCTCTCTCTCTTATTTTTCTCTCTATTTTCTGTTAGGCATCCTTTTGGTAGTAACTCGTTTCCTTAATAAATCTCACCAAATAGTGAAATTTTTTCTTCATGTTTTGCTATCTGAGTGTTTTTTCATTTCATTTTCCCCTAAATTTCTGTACCATTTTTGGTTGGGTTTAGAGGGAAAAGGGCTAATTGATTAGCTTTTGTACTGCTTTTAACTGTTGATCTTTGACTGGTTCCTTTAGTAGTATCTTTCTTTTTTACTCTGCCTTACTTATTTTTACTGTTTCGGGGGCTTGTTGATTGATACCCGGCAAACAGTTTTTCTCTTTCCTGAAGCTTGTAGAAAAGTGAAAGATTGGAGCTTGATTATTGTGTGTTTATTAGTGATTTATTGTCATTATGATGATTGTAAAATGAGGAACTTTTGACCATAGAAAAGAGATCAGAATAAAGTAAAGGGGAAGGAGCGTGGTGGTGAGATGCATATGTGTGAGCTTGTTGGGGGGGAAGAAGAAGAAAAAAGGATATTTTTTTTATTGCTTTATATTTTTCAATGAGAGAAGAATTGAGTGGAAAGACACCAAGTTTCACTCTTTTTTTGTAATGTGGGTTGAAGGGTGCTTGTCAGTGAAGTGAATTTAGAGCTTGTTTGGGGTTAGTGGTGGAGGGGTTTAAAAAAACTTTTCTTTTTGGTTCCTTGAGAATCTGTGTTGCTTTTTTTTTTTGGAGGAAAAAGGGGGTGGGTTCAAAGATGCCTATGTTTCAACCCTCAAAGAGGGATGGTGTTGTTGTTGCTGGATTTGATGGTAGTGGTGATGGGCAAGTTCTAGATCTGGATACTGCTGTTAGAGATGGGGTTTTGGGTGGTGGTGGTGGTGGAATCATTGGTGCTGGTGGTGGTGAGAAATTGGATCTAAAGAAAATGATTGAAGAGCTTGATTTACCTGAGATTCCTTCTGTGTTTATTTGTCCAATCTCTCTTGAGCCAATGCAAGACCCTATTACTCTTTGCACTGGCCAAACCTATGAGAGGTCCAACATTCTCAAATGGTTCAATTTGGGGCACTATACTTGTCCCACTACAATGCAGGAGCTTTGGGATGATTCTATTACTCCAAATAGAACCCTTTACCATTTGATTTACACTTGGTTTTCGCAGAAGTATTCGCTCATGAAGAAGAAATCCGAGGATGTACAAGGGAGGGTAAGTGAGCTTATTCAGACATTGAAGAAGGCCAAGGGTCAAGCCAGGATTCAAGCCTTGAAGGAGCTGAGGCAAGTTGTGGCTGTGCATGCTATTGCAATGAAAACGGTGGTTGATGAAGGTGGAGTTTCTCTAATCTCATCCTTGTTAGGTCCATTTACGTCCCATGCCGTTGGTTCTGAAGCAATTGCCATCCTTGTCAATTTGGAGCTTGATTCAGAGTCCAAAACCAATTTGATGCTGCCAACAAAGATTTCATTGATGGTAGATATGCTTAATGAAGGGTCAGTGGAGACAAAGATCAATTGCACGCGATTGATAGAGAAACTAATGGAGGAGAAAGAATTTCGCTCTGAGAGCATCTCTAGCCATCGGCTATTGCTCGGTCTAATGCGATTAGTGAAAGATAAGAGGCACTCGAGTGGAATCTTGTCTGGACTTAGCTTGCTTAGATCCATATGCTTACATAAACAAGTCACGAGTTTGATTGTGAGTATTGGAGCCATTCCTCAATTGGTTGAATTGTTGCCTGCTTTGGAGCCTGATTGCTTGGAATTAGCCCTTTTCATATTGGACACATTATCGTCTCTGCCGGGAGGCAAAGCAGCATTGAAGGATTGCGGAAACACAATTCCAAATATGGTGAAGCTTTTGATGAGAGTTTCAGAAAGCTGTACACAATATGCATTGTCAATTCTGTGGGGTGTGTGTGAACTTGCCCCTCAAGAATGCTCCTCAGTTGCGGTGGAAGCCGGTTTAGCAGCAAAGCTGCTGCTTGTGATTCAGAGCGGTTGCAATCCCGTGTTGAAGCAAAAGTCTTCGGAGCTCTTGAAGTTATGTAGCCTAAATTATACAGACACCATCTTTATCTCAAAGTGCAAGCTCACAAGGACAATCCAGTGACAAGTTAAAGGGTCTGCCATAATTGGTTCTTGAAACCTTCCAAGAAGGATCATACATATGAGATATGGGCTTTGAGGTATGAATTAGCTCTCCTGTACATATTAAGCACTTCAATTCCAGCAATTTGATTCAACTTTTCATAAAAGAACACTCATATGTGGATAAGGAAAAAACACACATTTCATGCAGCAATGGGATCATATCAAGTTCTCTAAATAAAACCCTGAAAGGATAAATGATGTGAACAAAATTGTTTCATGTGGCATGGATTATTATAGGTGGGGTATGTTGTTGGATAGAATATAACTATTTGTGCAAGACTTTGGAGCTTGCAATCACAATTGTAATAGATAAATAATTGCTTTGCTCCTTGGTCTTGGGGGGCCCTTATTTCTCCCAAGTTGTTCCTAGGGTAGGGGCCTTGACCAATTTTTCCTGTCTGGGTTTTGGCGGAACTTTTGCATTTTTAGCTCCAAACATTTGTAGAGGTATTGCAGTTCCTATGGATATCAAACGTCCATTCAATGTGAACAATGAAAGAAACCATTTCTTTAATTTATTTGAAAAGCTATTTATGTAAAAATTGTGGTGTATGTGACTATTAATAAATCAAATACATATAATTATAAAAAGAGAAGTGTTATAGTAACTTTTACACATGCATCGAACTGTTGCTATTTGTGGGGGTGGGGTCCATATTTTGTAAGTCTGCATCTTCCTTTGTGGGAGAAATTGAGGACAACACCCATTGTCACCTCTCTTTCAATCACTGTTGTGAAATGTTTCAGTGCTCCATTCCTCAATAATTTTCCTATTTGGAATCAGTAAAAAAAGTTGGATTACAGTGTTTTTTTTAAATCTTTACATGCATTTATTTGTCCATTTTTTTGGCTAAAAAATCAATATTTCTATGATTTCATTTTACCTCCAAGATGAAGAAAGCAAGGGAAAGATTCCCCATTCCCTTTCTTTATTGCCTTGTAAAGAAAGCTCTGCAACTAAGGCCATTGGCCATGGCATCTTTGAATAACTGTTAAAAACTCGAAACAATAGTAAATGTTTGATCAATACTATAATAAGTGATATCATAACTCGAAAAAGAGGTAATGTTCATGTGTCTTGGTGAGCCAATCCACATTTGTTGCCTGTGGGGCCGTTGGTAGCACCATCATTAGAAGATGCATTCATTCCGGATAGCGAACGATCATACATTTGAAATTACCAAACGATTACGATAAATAATGAATAAAACAGATATGACATGTCATTGTGACGTTATAATAAGATGTCTTTGTATAAATCTGAACGAGGCTTTGGTGGTGGAAAGCTGGCTTAAGCTTCCTTTGTATTTCCAAAGCATCACAGTCGCCGCCATGCTTGCATTGTTGGACATTACTTGTTAGCGCAGTCTATCCAACGAACAGGTTGGACCCTTTCGCAGAAAAAAATTGTGATTATAGTGTAAACTAATCATTTAGTACATAAACTATCAGTTTTGATATGTTTTAATACTTAAACTTTTAATTTTTTAAAATCATACATGGCGTTTAGTTTTTGTTTCATTTTAGTATCCAACCGTTAAAAACTTAACGCGTTTAGTACCTAAACTATTAATTTTAGTCTATGTTAATACCTAAACTTTCATTTTTTTTCCAGAAGTTAATGCTAAATTTTGAACGAGGTATTAGAATGAAATAAAAAACTAAATTTAAGTATGTTTTTGAAAAAAAATTAAAAGTTTAGATACTAAAACGGCTTAAAATTAATAATTTAGATACTAAATACGTAATTTACCCTAAAAATAGTCCATTAACCGAAACACTATGCAGTGAGGAGTTCCATTTTACCGTCTTATTTAGATCGAAAGAATTGGAAAAAGAACAAACATGATTGAAAAAAAGGCGTTGAAGAGTTGAATTTATGCATGACATGAATAGATTGGACAATATATGAAACAGTGCACTCTTTTCCGGCGGCAATGCTGCTGCTACGAAAAGGCCTACTCTGGTTCACGATTTTTGTTTTGTAGCGGAAACCCCCTTAAATGATCTTCGCACAGCTCAGCGTTCGTAAAATCTCGAGAAGCCAACATAGAATAACATAGACAAAAATGCATCAGACGTCCAAAGCTCGACAATCAAAGTAGCCCTCGAGAAAATAAATCAAATATGATATTTTAAGTAATGTTTTTCGTTATTGAATATAGCGATATTGATATGACAGTTTATGATGCTGGCGTGACAGTTTATGATGTTGACGTGACAGTCTACGGTAGTTGATAACATGACGGATAATATGATAGATAGACTAAATTGATAACTCCAACATGACAGATGTATTGCTACATAAGCACCATGAACCATCGCATTAGCATCATAAACTGTCAAATTAACATCCTAACGATCAACAACATAAAAAATTGGTTAAAAATCTACATTGAATTTATTTTATGAGTTGAAAGACCATGTTAAGAAAAAAATTAATACAAGGACAATATCAATTTGTTTTATTGCTTTAAGTCAACAGACTATTGGATTGTTGTTAGCAAGACACATTTCAGCTGGATTTTGAACAAGTTAATTAAACTGAGGGACGAGGCTAGTAACCTTTTCAATCCTGGGGCTAACTTATCTCAAATCAAGGGCAGGCAGATTTGGGATAGCATCCATAGCAGAAGAGAAAAGGTTGCATGGCATAGGCTCATCTGGTTTCCCGCTCACGTTCCTAAGTTTTCCCTTGTTGCTTGGATGTCTCTGCTTGATAGATTGCATACCAAAGACCGACTAATCAGGTTTGGAATTGCGGTTGAAAACGATGTGTGTGTGCTATGTGGGGCTGGTCGTGAATCTCGTAATCATCTCTTCCTTGAGTGCTTCTTTGTGCGCGAGATATGGAGAACTGTTCTGCATACTTGTGAACTGCTGCATCAGTTGCTGGGCTGTTGGGATGATGAGATTCGCTGGATGGTCTTGCACTTTAAAGGGAGATCCCTTGTAGTCCATATTCTCAAACTCGTTTGGACCGGTTTTGTTTATTTTACTTGGGAGGAACGTAATCTTAGGAGTTTTAGAGGAGTGATACGTTCTGCTGATTCAATTGTAAATAATTTACGTGAGGTGGTTAGAGCTAGGATGTATGGGGGTCACATTAATAGATCTGATACTGTAAATAGGTGGTTGTGCCTAAATTGGGGTATGCTTTAGTTGTTTGTAAACGCTTCCCGTAGCAGCTTTGCTGCTTCTTTTGGATGAATAAACTTTACTTATCCAAAAAAAAATTTATTTTCATAAGTGCATAAACCTCTAATCCTTTTTGTGAATAACATAGTGTGTATGTATAAGCCAACTTAAATTTTGCTTTCTTTTTCTTTTCCCTTTTATACAATAAAATAAAATAAAATAAAATTATATTTGGTCTTTGCACGAGTTCTGAAACTTTCCTAATCAAATGGCCATATAGCATCGCCCATTCACACCACTAATAGTTAAATTTCAGGTTAGTCATCTCAACTTATAAGATCAAGTGGTTCGATTTGAAAGGATTAAATTGTTATAAAAAATGACGAGTGCATAGCAATCCCTAAACGTATCACAATACTTGATTATAAATATACAAATCTTTGATACATATTTATAGTTGTACAAACACAAAAACTCTAGAGATGATATGAAAGTCTACGACCCCTTCGCATCGAGAAATTATTTGATGGACCCGGTTTACCACGTCATCCGTGGTCCCAACCAATAGAATATATTCATCTCAAGGTAACTTTCAAATAACTACCACTCTTTTTTTACGTGTATAGAAAAAAATGATGTGAATGAACCTTATTGTTTGAGACTACGGATGATGTGGTGAACCGGATTCATCTAATAATTTTTCCTCCGCACCCATCTCAAATCTCTATTTTTTTTTCTTAATTTCTTTCTTTATTAGGCGGATTAAGCCAAAACAAAATTCATATTATTCTCTAAATTTTTTTATTAAATTCGTTTACTTTTATAAAATATCGTCGAACTTAAAAGATCATTTAAAAAAAATTAGTATATCTTTTAGAACTAAAATGATTATTCTTACCAATACGGCTTTATTTTGGAGCTTTTCTTGAAGAGTAGTTTGAGTTTGTGTTAAGAAAAAAAAAAGTTGAGGCACCGCCCACGGTACCGCATTGCAGCGCAGCCTCGAATAAGCATTTGAGTTGGTCGTGAGAATTAATGTTGTCCAAAGGGTTCATCCACTTGTGTTGGTCGGTTCTTTTTATTTTCTAGCACGACGGAAGAATATTCATTTCAACAAACACATTCATCTTACAACAGCTACTGTGTATGAAGAAGCAAAACAAAACTTTTAATCTCGTACGATTTGTTTGATACCTATGATTCCCAAGTTTTCCTCTATCACGGGAAAAATCAAATTCCAACGTCGAATAAAAATAATACTAATGCTTTATCCAATTACAGAAATTCAAAGGTTGTACGAACAACTAGGTTGCGATTTATTTTCAAATTATTTTAGTTTTAATTATTTCCCAATAAACAACTTTTATTTATTAATTTTTTAACCCGAGATCGCAAAGAATGAACAGTGAATCAGATCTAGACCTAAGATTTATTAGATTAAATCTCAATTCAAATAATATATTCTTTTAAGACTTTGGTAGTTAACTCTTGTATTTTTTTTAGTATAACCACCGGTATTCAATCTATTGATTGATCAATCCGGATCGAGTACTGTAGGGATAAAAGCAACCCTTCCAATCCAATTTATTATATTCGCAATCTCAAGATTCAAACTTTTGATCTTACTTAAGAGATCTAGTGACTCATCCCACTAGACCAATTAGTTGTTGATAGTTAACTCATATATATATAATAATGTAAAACTGTTGTTTATAATTCAAATATATTTTAGTATGAAATTTCTTTGTAATATTTGATTCTATTTATAGTTATTAAAATAATATTTGATTCAAATATAATTATAATTTTAAAATTAACTTAATTAATCTAATATATTAAAATATGTATTTAGTTTATCTGAATTAGTATATCTAGGTGTTTATCTTAAAAGGCATATCTACTTAGCATGCCTGATTTAGCCAAAGGACCTTAAGTGGAAATTATTTAGGTTAGTTAACCCTAATTATTCATTAATTGTCCCACTGAAAAAAAGCAAAGGTTAACCACAAATTAGGTATTTGGATGTATAACATATATACTTAATATAACGTAGGTATCTTCATTCTTTTGATCATACGTTGGAGAGATAATTGAAAAATACTTTAGTGAGAGTGGAATAAAGAATATGCTCTTGTCCATAAAGGAGGCATCTTGACGTTCTTGGAGAGACACAACAGAATGAGCATAGTGTCACGAACTTAATTGCTCAATAAGCCTCGTGCGGCCTTAGCTCCTTTTCGCCCCTTGCGATAGCTAAGTCAGCCTCACTCGAACTCGTGCTAGAGAAAGGATTGGCAAGGAAACAAAGAAGAAAGGAAAGAACTTAGA